TCTCTAACTTTGTCACATAGATGGAAATGCTTTATGGCAGGTTTTGTTGCTCGTGTTATTCATCTGCAGATTAACAGTATTAAAGGGGTCTTTTCTGAGTTTCAGGGCTTTCGATTTTCTCTTGTTGTAACATGAGTATTGTCAGCTAATGTTATGAGAGCCTTTATGATACAGTCTGCCGTAGTGCACAGTCTACCTACTGTAACACAGTCTACCATACAGCAATATATGTAAGTAGATTCAGTTTCAGCAACATGGTTCCTATTTTGGGTCATTCTCTTCAGTCAAGCCAATCTAGAGTGTTATCTTCCCCCTCTTACTAACTAGCCGTCGTTATTTGATCTTACAGATGTATTAATGAATTACAACATTCTAGGGTGCCTCCTCACATCACGCTAAGAGTGCTGCGAGAGAAGCTTGGAGAATACCTGGGTGGAGTGGCAGTTGCAGATAAATTTATATTTTTAAAATGCATTGGGAAAAAACTAGCAGTGGTAAGTTAATACATTTTTGTTTCTTTTTCCCTAGTGTTATTCTGCAAATTAAATGCTATCACAAGAAAACAGGGATAACTTTAGGGTCACTGATAACATTTCTTTCTTATGCGTGTTGGTGTATAAGCTGTTACTGGAAGTGCTTCCTCAAATGCAGGCACAGGTGGCCAGGTATATTAGAAACAACTTTTAAGGTATCAACATAATCTTTTGCCATCCAGTGAAAGGTAACAGCTTTGATAAATCAGGAGATTGCTTAAATATGGCAGATCTCGTTGCATGCAAGAATTTCCCCACTATGGTCATTATTACACTTATATGGTTAGGAATATGCTTGAAGAATTTTCAATGAAACCTGAGTTTGTTGGAATTCCTCTAAAGGTTCCTGCTGTGGCCTTCTCAGTGGCCTCTATGTGGGCATTTCTAATTAGTCCAGTAATACAGCCTGAAATTTATGTCATGAAAAAGCTACATTTCTTCATCATAGCTGTTCCTCACATTGATATTAAAAGTCACAGCTAAAGATTAAGTAAATTTGAAAATTGATCTAAATATTTATTATATAATAGTTATGTTACTTAAATCTTCGCATAAGTACGGAATACTTTTTCACTTCTTACTCACTTCTACTTCTTGGAGATTGTCTGGAACTTAATTACAAGCTGTAAATTTGCTACTGTTCTTTCTCTCATTTGTAGTCATCACTAATTGCCTACACAGAAAGCTAGAATAAGTATTAATGATGTGAAAAATTAGTTAGAAAAACATCTAGGCAAACTGAAGGACTGTGACAGCACGTAACATTGTGCAAATGTTTTCAAATACTTCAAGTGTTTTTAACTGGGGATAAGTAAGATTGTATATTTGCTTCCCAATGATACTTCTGGTGTGAATGGAGAAATTTTGCAGCTGCATTGAGAATGTCCAGGTATATAGTAAAAAAATCTTTATTATCAGAGAATTAAAGATCCTAGTAGAGACAAATGAAGATTTTTATCAACAAATTAAAGATACAGTCTTAATTTGGGGGGTTTACTCTTGCTTGATATTTAACTTTGTAAAAAAGGGCAAAGCAATAAATCAACAAAATGGTTTATTTGTTGTTTAGGGTCATGGTAACCTCATGCAATTTTATCTCCATGATCAAATATTTGTTGAGTTTTTTTTCCAGTCTTCCATTTCACAACAGTGTAGGCAATACAAAGAGCTGTCCCCTGTTTGCAGAGTAAGGGCCTTTAAATGAAAAATAAGCATAAACCCAAACCTTGCTTATTTTCTCTTCATTTTCTTTCATATAATCTATGAATGTTACAATGAATCAGTAGCTGTCAGACCATAACTGAGAAGACCCCAATCTTAGTTCAGTTTAATTATATCATTATTTTAATGTAAACTGTAATTTCCTTTACTGGAATAAACACAGTGATTTGGGGTTTTTTTTTAGAACTCTGTTGAAATGAGAAAGTTTGTATTACACAATGGAAATTAAGATAAACAATAAATTCAAGAGTGTAGGAGTGCTCAGGAGATTTGTGGATCTTTTCTATATAAAATATTTTGCAGTGTTGTATGAGGTGAATAGAGCATGCAAGCTCATCATTTCTAATCAGATTTAACTTGAAGCAACTTCTGGTAAAGACAGCTGGAGACTATTTTTTTTCTGTGATAGTTGGATCAGATCCTTTGAACTGTAAGAGAACGCAAAAGATAAAAATGTTTATTTAGATATCCATGTACTTTTGTGGGTGTGATTTAGAGTTTGAAAATAGACAAATTTTTTCCGTGCCATGTCAGAAAACAAAAAGTAACATTCTGTGTTGCTTCTTCACCATTCAGTCATACCAGAAGACAGTACTGGTTAATAAAAATATAAAGGTGATGACAGAATATATAAATTGGTATTCAATATTGATTTTTTAAAGTATTAAGTATTCTGTTGGTTACACTTTCCTTCTTCATCTTCCAAGGTGAAAGCAAAACAAGAGGCAGAACTGGAACTGAAGTCATTTGCTCCTCCTTATGTATGTATTGTATGGCTTTTATACACCATTTTCAGAACTTTTTACACTGCACATTTCTTCTTTCATGCCTGATTAACATATTGCATATTTTAGGCACTTTACCCTGAACTATATTTATTACCTGGAGTAGAGTACTTTGAAGATGCTTATCCGTTATCATCATCAACTCGGAAAAGACATCACTTTAATGAAGAAGCTAGTGGGTTTGGTCGTGGATCAAGATTATCCAGGCTTCTCCCCACAAAAAGTGAAAAGAGTAAGCAATTCTTAGAAAGCAATGAAAGCAGGCATCTGCTTCAAAATACAGTGCACAGTTCCATGGAATGGGGCGAGAAAGAATCTGTTCTGGTTTTGCACACAAATCACCAGCAAGACCAGAATATCAGGATTCAAGAAAATAAGATTCAGCTTAGAGAAAAAGGTAAGTTCATCCCATGCAGTAAAGAAGAGAAGAATAACTACTATGGTTAACCTTTGCAATGAAATATTTTTTATCTTTTTGATGTCAATTATTATGCAGATGAGAATGGATCCAGTGGAGCTCTCTTTGTGCCAAATAATTCAAAGACTGCAGATGGGGAATCTGGGAGGAACTCTGCCCAGAACTCTCAGGAAAATCCTCTCAGCCAGGATCAGAAACAGCATAATGCTCCCAAAGGGAGTGACAAAGCCAAAGAAACTGCTCTTACTCTTCATGTAAACCACTATGAGGTACAAGGCCAGAATAACCCAATCCCCACAAACTCCATTAAATATCAAAAAGGTACTATTCTTTGGCATCGTATTGCGAGTGTATGCTTTTTAGAAAGTGGGCACAGCAAACATAAGATTAAAAAGAATCTTAGCATAATTTGGAAAATTATCAGAACAGTGTCCTAATTTTTTTATTAGAAAAATAGTTTACGAAGAGCTGTAGGTCTTTCTAAAGAGTGGCCATCAATTAGCCTTTCTTTATCACTATCTACTGGTATAAGGAACACTTCAATACAATTGATGCATGTCGAACCTTTTTTATATGAAAACAAACTGTTAAGCTGCCACTTGTTTCATGTAAAGTTCAGAAGATGATCTCAAAATTATAATTCAAAAGGAATTTTGAATGAATAAATTCTGTTACCAATAAAGCAGGGAAAGCAGTTTACTCACTTCCACTTCCATTGTCATTTTACCCATGACTACATTACCTCTGGAGAGAAAGGGGTTTTTCCCCTCCCTCTGATATAATGTTGATCTATTTTTATACTGTTGAACAGTGTGAAGCTTAAAACTGAGGTGAGAGGACTCTTTGGCTGGTCTGCAATAGAAAATAGTACAAAGTACTGTACAAAGTACAGATAACTTTTCAGCAATTTCAGTTTTCAATCATAATTCGTCAAAAATCGCTTTGTCTTTTCATCTCCATATTAACTGAAGTGTGCATTAGGTAAATACACACGGGCACACACACTTACATACATGTGTTTGTGTGTGTGCATGTTTGATAAGTGGTACTGTTATATATATCTCTATAGATCTATGTGATATGATACATACCATATCACAAGTTTTCTGAAATGTAATTTTGAATGATGAGAACTGTAGAATTTTGTCAGATGAAAGTAAGTCATTCAACAGCTTTCTTTTGAAATGCTACTTTGTAGATATTTTTAAGCAGATAACATTTATTCATTAATGTATTAAATGAAGAATGTTTTGCTGTCCCTGTTTTTGTTAGCACAGTTTGTAGAGGATCTTCAGTTCCTTACAGGTAGAAACTGTGAGATAAGGAATTAATTTAGGAAAGGTTAAATAGCTAAGTGGTTTCCTTATCTGTGTTACCATTCCTGTATTAGTTACCAGAATTTATTGGATATAAATTTTCAAAACAATGAGGCCATTTATTTCACTTTTATTTCTTTCCTGTTATTCATACAACATTGTCATACCTAAGAGAAAAGTGTATTAATCAAATTGATTCAATGAATCAAATTGATTGAATTTCTAATACAGGTTGGGTAGCCAAGGCATTGGCACTCAAAATAGCTTGTTCTCTTTTTATTGTTTTCTTTTCTTTTTGTTGTTGTTGTTGTTTTCTCTTTTTTTGTTTGGTTGGTTGTTTTTTGAGTATAATCTAAACATTTTAATCATTTGCTTTGCACAGGACTAAACCCCAAATTACTAGTCACAAACATGGAAAATAACGACCATCAAGAAGATACCAAACTAAGAAGGAACAGAGCACAGAATTCTGGAATGTCTAAAATGTGGGAAGATCAAACCATAGAACATATACATAGTACCCAAAGGTTAGTAAATAATGGATAGTCTTAATTCATAACTTGAAACTTCTTTAAAGTATTTCACATAAAGGAAAGAAAATGGAAATGAAAAGCGTTTAATTACATAGATTTTCACTTGCTTCTTTGTTTTATCTTTAGCTTGCAACAGTACAGAACAGGCAAGTCTGTAGCTGACCCAGGTGAAAAACAGGATAATCAGGTGTGTTTTACCAGCAAACCTGTATGAAGTAATAAACACAGACAAAAAGCAGATGGAATCATCCTGTAGGTTGCCTTTCTGAAAGGAGACTGGAAAGGAAGGAAGTTTTCAACATTTTCGCATACCATTCTGTAAAGCTTTGAAGCAAAAAGGGATTTCAGACACACTCAGCTTTCTTCAGAGATGCTAAACTTCTCTGTTTTGCCTACTTCCATTTGGTCTGGTAGAAATATTACTTCCCTCACCAAAAGTATATATTCCACTACTAAGTTTATTATCTTTGAATTTGCCTTTGGAAATAAATATTGTTTCACTTTTCACTGTGCTTGAGTTATTGAAAAAAAAATTAAGTATTACTTGTGCTCAGAAGGGACCTCATGCCAGTTAATTAAAGAGTAGTTTCCATTAAGAATTCTTTTCTTACCACAGAAGATAGATATGGCAAGTGGTAACGAATGTGTCTGCATAGTTTATCTGCTGCCGTAGAATGTAGAAGTTAGCTGTAGATAAATGCCTTAATTTGTCAGTGAAAAGAAATTTATGCAATAGAAGATGATAGAAAATCTTGGAATTTGGAAATTTTTCTGGAGTACTGAAAGATTCACTACTTAAAGTCTCTTGAATATGTATGAAAAACCCCATTCTATTTGTAAGATATTGATTCTGTTTAACTGATAGGTGGCACTCTGGAGGCTCAAATGTTTAACTTTGTCAATTTTTATTAACTGCTAAATAATATATTCTTCTGTCAGTAATACAAGCCACTGGATCTCAAGAATAAAAACACTTATGTTCTGGATTCAAATTCAGCTCATTTGGCTCTTTACAGGCAGGGAACAGCTATGCAAGATGACTGATGATAGCTTAAAGTTCCTATTAACTTATATACTTTCCTAATGTACAATATAAATATTTAGCATTACAAATTATGTTCTTATTCTTGTTTCCTTTTATGCTCTAGGCAGATGAAAACAATCAAAATCATCTTACATTTCCAAAAGAATATCTTTCTCCTCCTAGCCCACCTTTTCTGGCACGTCCTGTAAATCCAGCTCAAGTTCCTACAATTCAGACAGAAAGTAAGTACATACACCCAGAAAATCAAAGGGGAATGAATCAAAACTGAACAGTTGATGAAGACAGAAATATTCACCTTACAAAATAAATTGTATGTAGGTACATATATTTGTTCACAGTCTTGCTACAAGTGTTAATTTGTGGTTGGAGAATTCCAAGCATTTATCATTGCATACCTGAACATGGCAGAGATTCCCAGTGCTTGAAAAGTCTCTTGTGGGTAGAAAGAGGAAATAACTTGATTGGATAAAATGCTGTTGGCTCAAGTGAGAATGTGGCTAAAATGACTGCTGCCAGTATGGCTAATTGCATTGTTGCAGACTAGTGAAGCTTAAAATTCCTTATTCTGCCTATACTAGTTGAATTTAAGGAAATATTTTGCTACAGTTTATGTCACAAGATAATATGAGCAGGAAATAAGGTCTCTCTAGGGGCTTATCTGCCCTCGTGGCAAGAGTTTTCAACATATATTGAAAATGTTCTGGATACCTGGTCTAGACATTTAAAAAGGTGTGCTTATGATTAACTGGAAGCATGCCATATTTACCTCGTTTTTGGGTTCATTATGAAAACATTAATTGATCCTTCCCACCTACAGTATCCAAACACTTGCTAAAGGCAATTTTATTTTTAGAAAACGAGATGGCGGAACAACTGCAGCAGATGAGGAAAGACAGAAGATATATGGAAAAAACAAGAGAAGACCTGATCAAAAAAGCCAAAGGGCTACTAGAACAAAATAAGCTGAGGAGATATCATGGTATGCATGCTTTTAATTTCTGGTTGAACTTGGAATGACTGAGAAGTGATGCTAAAACCAAAGTGCTCACAGACGATGACAAACATTTTCACAATTATAGAAAGAGCAGTGCAGTAGCTCTGAGAAGGCTCATTTATATAGCAATTTGGTAGAAAGATTCAAGATAGAAATGTCTGCTTCCACTTCTTTGTGGCAGTCTTAAAAATCTTTAAAAAAGCATCCTGGCTTTTATAAACCACTGATGCTATGTCACATACAGATAGTGGAGTGTACAGCAAGCTACTTCGGACTTCATCATTTGAGGCCTAAGGCAATTCGCATGTTATAAAACTATCTTTAACACTGAAACTTACTCAGCTTTTGTTAGGAATTTCATTCAGTCCCCCAGTGTAATACTTGAAATATCTCCTATCAAATGTCGTTTATGATATGGCATGGAAATTGTAAGTGGTCGTGACAAGTGTTACAGCTCGTATTTAAGTTTCTTCCAGCTGTTCTCTCAGGGCATGGCTACGCTGCACTCTGCAGCATGGTGAAGTCATATTTTAAAAGAGCAGGCTTGGGTACTATCAGCAGGGAATTAGTGGTAGCGTGGAGCTGCAGGCAGGCTAATTTACCCTGCTGCATTGTCTTAAATTATGTTATCCAGTTAAATTAAAGGTTATTTCACAAGGATTCCAACAGCTTCTGCAGGTTCTTTCAGAAGCATTCTACCTCGCAATTATTTTAGTCAGACCTTTAGAGTTTCGTAAGTAAGTGCTTTCACAAACATGTTTCTTCACAAGGTGTGAAGTACACATAATACACTGTAGGAACAACACTTCTCTATATTTAATTTCCTCCTAAGATTGCCACAGTGACAGTCACTAAGTTATATGTTCTGTAGTCCTCCAACAGCTGGATTCTTTTTACTGAGTAGCTGAGAAGTTTCCTGCTTTCCTAAAGAAAGCTTTGGAAGAAAGAAGGATTTAAGACACGTTGTTGACTGACAGATGTATCTTGGGCATATGACTGCCACATCAAGTATGAGGGGTGCATATGTGCCAGTCACTGGTGATATACTAACAGTGTAGCCAAGGACTCATAGTTAAATGTAAAGGTAAAAATGTTTTCCAGAAAGCCTCAGAATTCTATGTAAAAGCACGGAACTGCCAGGCTGAATGAAATTTAGTTTCTGGAGCTTCTGTGGTGTTTCAGCGGATGGATTATGTCCTTTTGTTCAGGTCATTACTTGTTCAGAAAACTCTGTTGCTGTTTGTAACAAATGTCACATTAGCAAAGACTTTAACTAATGAAATCTATAGGTTCACATGCATATTGGCCAACTGAATCTTGTAAGATCCATTGGTTGTTACCCTCTTCAGAACATCTTAATACAATATCATAATAAGATGAACAAAACTAAACAGCACTCGGGTTTCCTATGCAGTTCGTGAAGAATGGAAAAAGAAGTACTTTGAAACAAAAAAAGCTACAGTTTCCCTGGAAGACATTTTAAACAAACTGCGGCAAGATTTTGAGCTTTACTACCAGAAATTACTTTTGCAACTGGAAGCCAGAGATACCCGAAAACAACCAAATAATGCAATGACTTCCAAGGTATTTGTGCATATCATTTTTTGCACGATTTCATTTTTATATAAAATACAAATGTAAGTAGTCAGTACATCATCAGCCAATGTATAAGCTAGCTCTGACGACCAAATGTCTTTCAATGAGCTGAGGTGGGGATCAGTTACTGCATCCCATTCTTAGTGAGACTGAAGAACTGCTTGAGCCTGACCATTTGAGTCTGTCTGCTTCATGTTGCTTGATAGCCTCTGATGGCAGAAACCTCTTTGCTCAGTATGATTAATGAATCCTTCAGTTCCACATGGTTCTGCTCATCCCCAGTTTCAAGGACAGAGGTAATGCAGTCTAGTTGTGTTTGGAAGAGAGAAAAAAAAATCCCTGAGGCATTTGGAGTGGTTGCACCTGAACTGTTGTGCAACTACGAGTACTGTGTTAATGGACATATATTGTTGGTGTCAAATCATGAGAAACTCAGAGAGGAATAAATAAAAAGATAAAAGAAATAGGGAAAACACTCTCCTGGTAGTTAAATCTACCGGTTTTCTAAATGCATTCGTTGAGGCAAGTCTGCCTGCAATCTGAAACTAGAATAGGAAAAATAAACTGTAGGATGCATATGTAAGCATATATGTGCTTGCCTCCAAAAGCTGGGATACAATATCAAATATATAATGTATGTTATTGAAACTATCTTTATATAGATATCTAAAATCTAAAAGTATTAATAAGGTTGATGCAATGTATTTATTATTAGCTATGTTGGAGTTCAGGTATGTTATTGCCCCTTTTGGAGTGGGGTCAGGTTCTTGGGGTGTCTTTAGCTAGGCACAAAGAGCCTATACAGGAAGCATAAGTACAACTTAACTGTGTAAAGCAATTATTTATTGGCCAACACATATAACACATAGGCTTGGAACATCAAATGAAGATTGCCACATTTGTACCCATTCCTCAGAGTTGATTCCTAGGGACCAGGGGCAACTTATGCTAGCTGAGTAGCCCATTGTGAAAATATAAATTTTAGTTCTACAGGTTAATTCAAACAGAATTAGGAGCACTCGCAGCTACTGCACTAGACAGTCACCTGATGTAGCAGTCCCATCAATAAATGTGCTGCCTGTGGGCTGAAGTGACAATAAGCCTGTGGAGTGTGACTTTTTATTATATGTGGGCAGTAGTCCCAGAAATTAATAGCAAAACACTGTGCTATTACTCAAGAGATCTGATCTGGATCTTAACTTCCCAGAGCAACAAGGAAAGGAGGAAGTTTCACCCCTAGCTGAAGGACTTCATTGCTGGAGAACTGCTCTCTAAGGAAGAGCAGAGGAACTTCAAACAAGATAGCTGGGCATGTATTAGATTCTAGAAGAAGGTGGGAGAGCTGGAAAAAGAGTTTACGGGAATCCTTTCTGAGCAGGGATTTCACACCCTATGATTAAAGAGATGCATTGTCAACTAATGCGCAAATACATTAAAGCTTTCTTGTTGTTTCACCCAGAATAACACAATCATCCGGATTATTACAGTACAGCATGATATTGATCAACTGAGAAAGCAGCTGGATGACACAAAAATGAAACTTGTGATAGAAATTAAGGTACTTAATTTCTGCTTCTATCCTAGTGAGCCTTTTAATTAAAACAGTGGAAATATTATTCTGTATAAAAATACAGATCCTCCCCAAACACCAGAAGACTTAAATATTAGATAAACAGTGCTTATTTTGAATTTTATGGTATTGATTGTCATTGCAGCTTTATCACTTGAGGTCCAATTATTCCAGAACATCAGATTTTTAGATGCTTTTGAATGCATTGCATTCAGGCACTTAAATTTCCAAGGTACTGTGTAAGTCAAGCTTCACAGTCTCTCATAAAATTCCTGTTTCACTGTAAAGGTAACTGAAGGCACATATTAGGTCAAGTGCTGATCAGTGGCACTCCATGGTGCGGGGAAGAAAGGGTACAAGGAACAGAACATCGATGTGGACTGTCCTAAGAACAGTCAGCTTCCATCATGGTACTGCCTGTGGCTTCCCCTGGAAGGTGGATCATAGTAGCAGTGTTTATACTAGGTAGAAAGCTTTGCAGCTTTGAATTCTTGAAGTCTGTGTCTTCTATGTGGCAGAGAATGCCCAAACACCTTATTTAGTCTAGGGTGACTGTATTCATCATACCTCCTAAAGGAGGGCCTTTGTATAACAAAGAGGGGAAAGAAGACTGAATTCCAGGGTTGCCCAAGGCAAAGCGCAGAAGAAAGCCCTGCTAGAACTAGGGTACAGAGTTAGGCATGAAGGACTTTTAAAGATGAAAAGATACAGTTTCTGTGTAGCCATCCTGCATGAAATCCAATCTTAAGAGCATATGCATGACCACTCCAGAAATTCCTGTAAATTACAATTCCTTAAATTACTGGTTCTTCTGTAGATGCGAAAACAGGCAGCATCTGATTTACGAGCACTGAGAGCAGAACTGACACAGAAGAAGATTCATTCCGGTTTTATTGTCCAGCCTGGAAAAGCAGGCATTTAAGGGGAACAACACAACTTAACACCTGAAAGGTCTACTGAAGCTCTGTAATGTATATAGAAGTTCAGACTTTCAAAGTATTTGTTTCTATAAAGTTTTGTGTAAAAAGACATCAAATATGTAAACATTGTGGAATTTATATACTAAGTTACTAGAGGTACCGTAATTCAGTACTTCTCAAATCTCACTCTTTCTGTAAAACTACTCAGCTTCACACATCCAGTTTAAAACAGTAACATGTCTGAAACACAACATAATTATTTTAAAAGTGCAAACAACTTAAGTGTGTAATATCCATAACTATGTTGATAGTCTTTTATAAACAAATGATTTGCTAAGCAAGCATTCCTATAAACAAAAGACTCCTATTCTGATTTTGGGGCATGCTTATTTAAGTCTTAAATAAAACATATTTTCTGTAGGATTAGAAAAATAATTTTTATTTAGCTGTTGCTTGACTAATATTTTTCTCACAAAACAAATATGCTTATATTATCAATGTGCTCTGCAGTATGAACAAAATCCCAGGTAATTTCATATCTAGCAGTTTTTGTTCCTTTCCCAGGAAAGCTGCATGGAGAATGGAGAATTCTATAATTAGTGGAAGATGCAAGCTTTGTCTTGGACAATTATAATGATCTTGGTCTGATTTACTTACAGTATTACGTACTATTTTCCTTCAAGTCTATACACACACTCCAAGAAGAAATCTCTGACAGAGTAATCAGAAACCTCTTCTTGCTAGTCATTTTTTCCAGCTCTCCTCTTTGCTTCCTTCTAGTTGCAGATATTATTACATTATACAGAACAATAACATGCTGGAGTTTAACGCTGGCTCAAAGCTTGACAGAGTCGTGTTTATTACTGAAACTTAAACACAATAGGAAGCCAGTAACAGGATAAGAAAATTGTGCAACTCGCAAAAGGAGGAACTTGGTACTACCTTGAGCCAAACCACACTTTTTCCAATTAATTTTTTAAAGAATAAATTTAACAAAAAGATTTAAGTATTAAAGTAGTAAAACAAATAGCACATTTGTGCAATTTAAGACTGAACTTACTTGAAGAACAGGCAGTTCTTCATGCTCTTGTTTTTACGTAAGAAGTTGGCATCACGGAAACTATTATTAGCAGTAGCAGCACAACTAAACCAGTAAACTAGAAAGTGTAAGAGTAATCTTAAAAGTAAAGCAAAGGAATAGGTAGTTCTGTCAAGTTTTAATACAGGAAATCCATAGTGGTTCCAGTTTTGTGTGATACAACTCTGACCCTACAGCTTAGATTGTCCTGTATACCCTTAGAGAGGCATAGGAGCCTGGTACTAGGTATTTAATACCTGTATTTAAGTTAGGCTCTACAGTATCTTCCTCCTTCAGTCACAGGAATATGGTGGAACAGAAACAAGCCAAAGCACCTCCAGAAGTTCTGTCTGTCACCTTTCTCCAGTGCTGCTGCTACTCCTTAAAAAATAACTAAAATTCAAGGTATGAATACAAGGTATGAGATGTGCAATGAGCTAGAAATCAAAAGCATGGTTAGTGTTGCCGGAGAGCAGGCAATTGCCTACTCCACACACAGTCCTTCCCCACAAAAAAAATTAAGTCATGATCTTTGAGTGCTATAGGAGTGTTTTGTAGCTCTGTTCTTGCACTTCAGAAAACTTTTTGATTCGATCACAAGTATCTAGTGTTACTGTACCAGAGGGAGTTAATCTGTTGGTGCAAAGTCCCTGCATTTGAGTTTTAAAGCCAGGAGAACCAGGTGTCTACTGAAAAGCCCTCCCCTCTGCATCCTAAGGGAAATGTTTTGTATGGGAGGGCAGTCAGCTCCACTTCCAGCCCTGTTACCTGTAGCATCACAGCAGTCACACAGTCATCCGCTGCAGGCACAGGCTTTTCACTCTCTATTTGGTTCTCACCACCCTAGAGTGCTTTCCCATTAACCAATTTGCCCTTCCTTCCCCTACCCTCAAAATAACCACACACACAAACCTTCCCCATCCTAACTGACAGCATATATATATATAAAATTTAAGTAACAGAGTCACTTAAACAGGGCACAGTTGCAGTTTAATCTGGTTCTGAAACAGTTTTGAAAAAAGTTTGGGCTGTAAATAGTACAGGAAGTAAAGCCCAAACTGTAAATACTATTCACCAACCTTAACAGAGACAGCATATTATTTAACAACAATAAAGAAAATGTTCACATCGGTCAATCTCTCTGAAAACAGAAGTATTTTAGTGAGTTATACAATGAAAAACATTACCTAGAATGAAAATGTACTCCTCTATTCTCTTAGCAGCAACACTGGATTAAAAAACAAGCAAAAAGCTACTGAATAAGAATCATAAATTGTGGAAAAATATTCACAGTTTATGAAGTAGGCTCTTGTCTTGAGTATTCAGTAAACAGAATAGAAAAATGCCATCCAATTTCTCCTCTTGTTCTATCCTAAGATAAATTCCTAGATTTTTGGAATTGGAAACCGAGAAGTTCACAGATGATGCATAAACACAGTGAACCAGAAGTAGTTCACTGTATATTCTCTTCTGAATAAAAAGTATGCTAAAAATCTTAAAGGGAATTATTCGTGTTATATAATTTAATCAGGCCTTGAAAATATTTTGATTTCTAGAGCAGAAGTCAAGTTGAAGCACAAGTTTCTCCAAGGTGCATGGAGGCAGCCGTTTCTCCAATACTCTGCCCTGCTCTTCTGCAGGCTGATGCAGCTAACGTCCAGCCTGGGCTGGGCTGGCAGAAGGCCCTGGGGCAGGTTCTGCTGCACCCCAGCACCCCATAGCAGCTAACCCCAGCACCAGGCAATAGCCCTGTAAATTCACACCCCATCCTATCTAGTGCCACGTACTCACTGGGGTCAGGTTCTCACCAAACTTACAGGAGTTGTGAAAAAGGAGAAAGTTTTTCAAAACAGTGTGATAAAGCAACACCAAAAGGATGTGAAATACCTAAATACTGCTTTGCATACAAGATAACAATGACTTTTATTAGTTCTCAAAGCTTTGGCTGCTATCATGTTATATTTATAGAAAGCCAAAATCTATTATATTAAATGGCAAAAAATACCAATTTTCATCCTTCTAAATCAAGGTGGTCACAATTGCATATAGTTCTTATGGTGTCAAGGCTTTCCACATTGCTTCAGTTTGCTGCTGTGCTGCAGCTTCCTTCGAGTAGTCCAGGCTATTTCCATTCCACACGCCAATGCCCCTTAAACCTCGATTCTTGGCATATGCTGCTTTTAAAGAGATGCTGCGTGGGTTGTCATACCACACCTGGTGGAAGCGACCACGGGAGTCCTGGAAAGAAAAGGACCATTGAGGCACTAGTGTCAGCATCTACTGTACAAATAAACATGATACATTAGAGCACATCACGTTTTGATTACACGTTCTACTGAATGCAGTGAAAAGTATAATTAAAATCTTAGGTATACAAGCTATATAAAATTATTTAAAAAATAAGAGTCAAATACCTGGCATTTGCTTATTTTTAGGATTTCAGATTTTAAGTTTAAGGACTCTTTTTTAATAGCATGCCTAACATCTTGGGCTGTATCTAACCAACTGGCAAATTTAGTTAGAGTTGAAGTGCTTTTCATGGTACATCTCCTCTCAGGAAAGCTGAGTAGCAGTGGAAAAAAAATCATTACCCTTAGTATTACTGTTATTTTATTTTTTTAATATTTTTAATTTCTATTCTTTAAATGTTTGTATTTTATTTTTTATTTTGACATGTTACTCTTATTATTCCTAGTAGTACACAATCATTGAATATTTAGTCTTTTCAGACTAAAAAATATAAGACATGCAATCCAGCCAACTTTTGCTATATGGAAAAGCTAAGTAGAAAACTCTACAGAAAAATCTAACCCTGAAAGTTTTATAATCAAAGACTATTGTTCACGAACCATGTGAGCCCACGAGAGTCCACAGCCTGTATGGGGTCCTGTGAAGAGCACCTACCTTATATTCGTAAAAAGGAGATTTCTGCAGCTCATCCCACAGGAGCCCCGACAGGGAGCCGTTCGCCACCTTCATTACTGTTCCGTAGGGGAGCTGGCGCCCTGCAGCATCGCTGCACGGAGCCCCGCGGAAAGGGACTTTGGAAAGAGAACAAACATGTTCCTGAAAAACAAACCCAGTGTGGGAGAGAGGAGTTTTGTGTTACATCCGTTTACCTAGCTCCAGAGCAGCAGCACAGCTCTATCCTGTGGTGAGTAAGTGACGGGCTTCACAGCAAGGAAACCAGCCCTTCGGATAATGCCCCAGCTCTGTAACCATTGGAAGGACACTGGGGAAATTTAGGAAATGGAACTGTAGTTCTGTAGAACTGTAGGACTCAATGGATCTTATTTAACTGACACAATCTTCTGACTTTTCCCTTTCCACTTTTAATTCACTCCTACATTTTCCACAAGTTTAATGATGTTGGAGACTTTATTAAACTATTTATCCACAAACTGCAATACTTTAACTGTCATAGCTTTGCTATTTGTTGCACCTAGTCTTTAAGCAGGGAGCCTAATAAGGCAGATAAAAGTGTTAATAGTTGCCCTTGGACATCATCTCTTTTCATACAGATAGCATGTGCATTTCCTTAATTAACTCCTAGATTAATCCTCAGGTATCATAGGTTTCAGGTTGCCTAGGAATAGATAAAAATCCTTTGGTTACACATTCCTATCAATTATAAGCCAAGCAAAGGCTACCTCATGTCCCAGGTATTATTCGTCAAAACACTGTATTTTGTATTTCCCAATCTAAACACAAGGTCACCAAGACCTAGCTGCCTCTTTCCAAGGAAAGAAAGATTAACAATACAATTGCAAGTGAATGATCTTTATCTTACCTTAGATAAGTCTAGGCAGACGTAATCGTAGCCATACCAGGGAACACCCATCACAAGCTTCTTGGGATCAATGCCCATAGTAATGTATTCTTCATAGCCTGGTTTTGAAGGAAATAAAAATGAAGATGCATTATTGTCCTTTCCCATCCTTCTCACGTTTTATATTCTTACAGCTAATCTACAGCCAGAGCCCCATAAGCATTCCATGATCCCCGAGTAAGGCCAAGGTATAAGCACACTCCTGGGCTTGCTCTCTTCAGCAGTAATTGTTCTAATTACTCACACTTAGAATTAGTTGCGCACAGCAGCATTCTCAGCACGGCAGAAAAGCTGTAACATATTTTTGATCATTTGAACTGTCATCTCTAGGTATTTCTCAGCATTTTTTAAGAGAGCACCCGGGTTGAGCAGCCCTCATTCCCACTTGTCTGTGCCAGTACAGTACTGCGTCCGCATGAGGACACAAATCATGGAATTGACCCAAATTTAAATAACCCCTTTTCTTGTTGTTATTTTTAAGCTCTATCAGTTCCCAAATCCAATTTGTAATGCACCTGCATGAACATCTGAACCAGTAAAAGCAGAAAAATATGGGAATACAGAGCAATACACTGTTTAAACCTGCACTGTTGCCAAAGGGAACATTTCTTAAATCACAGCTTCAAGGAACCAGCGTCTTGCATGAGCTGCCAGACAGACGTGTCAGGTTCCTGGCAAGCCCAGGCAGATGCTGCTGTTTGACTGCTTTTTGTCATCTTAGAAGGGCTTTTCACAAGACAGCGGGTTAGGCACTTATTTGACAACCAGCAACAACTGCTGAAGGACTAGGCATGATGCCTTAAGAATCTGATTTACTGTGTTCATATTATGTCCCAACACCTGTTTGCGTCGCCAAGAAAACATCCAGTCACTAAGGTCTTTAAGAAAAGGCAATTTAACTACTCGCAAGAACAAAGGGACACGCTGCAGCTTTTAGGCAGGAGGCCCGTGCTCACCAGCTAGTGTCTGGAGATAAGGAGCATTGGCCTTCGCAACGCAGTCGGTCCAGATCTGGCTCTGCTCATCATACGACATCACGAATAAGAAATCACAGGCCTCAGCAATCCCAGTGTAGTTGTAGCACCTTTGATCTATGCATGCTGGGGACCAGGCCACATCAAACGTTACCTGAAGGAAAAATACTCAAATCAATACTGCCTGTGGTTTGTGGGCATTCTTTTGTCTCCTATCTAAAAAAGCTTAAAAGTTTAAGGACACTATTTCCAAAATGTTGCACACTGTCTAGCTCTGCAATACCCGTTAGCTGTAAGAGAACCTCATCAGAAGGAAAATAAACATCAGATCATAAACATGCAAGGGAATAACCTCAGTGAAACCCCAGTCAGTGAAACCCCATTTGTGCTTAAATTCATACAGGCTAAGAGAGTGGTTCTTGGGAAAGAATGTCATAGCTAACATTCATAATTAGCCATTTATGACAATATCATGCTTTAGATGTGCAGAGAGATGTTCACATTCATATGTTAAGCAACATTCTCAAAACTTCTTGCATTTCATAGAATTGAATTTAATGTTTGTATGAAGTACAGTACCTGCGATCCTGGAATTTCTCTGTGAAAAGCATCCGTAGTTTCTCTAACAAGCTCTGTTAATGCGTAATACTCAGGGGAGGTTTCATTAACTTCCTGCTCTATGTCTATATTAATTCCATCCATATACTGTTTCTTGGCGAGATCCACTTGCTGGGATATCCAGGCTGCTCTTTTAGCAGGATCAACAATTTCCTTAAGCGGTACATCACCTAAACAAAGAGGTCTTCAGGAGTTAGAATGCAAGGGCAGCACAGTAGTAATGCCAGGGTAAGATTTGCCTTAGTAAATCAACTAATATCGCCAGAAGATCCCTACATGCGTACTTGCATCTCCTTCATCCTTGTGCCTATGGAAAATAACACAGAAGTCCTCCCCCACGAACAACATGAATTTGAAAACCCACATCAGAAGAGAAAAAGCACTGTTTAAAATTAAGATCCTTTGGGATTTATCCTACAATTTTCTTCCCCATTTCTGCTTAATGCTGTTTTAGTCGTTATAAACTGCCTTTCGTGAAGATAATTTACCTCCAACATCTCCACAGAGCCACCGGGATTGTGCCTTACTGCCTTGACAACATACTTTTTCATTTAAGCTTTATTGCTTTCCGCATTGTTTTCCCTTTTTTTGCCTCAGCAGACTCAAAACAGCACAGATGTGATTATACAGACATGCAATTACAGGGCAAGCAGTCACGATGGACTTTGTCTTTCTATAATCAATGTCTGGACCCATGCCAAGTTCCCAAGAGCTCATGTTTTAAAACTCGGTCATTTCCTAGTGTATGGGAACTAATTTTAGTGAAAACTACTCAGAATTACTTATATCCCTCTGGTATTTTCCTCTACAGGCTTTTGCTCCTCTCGCTTGCTCCTTGTTCTCCTACAGTGGCAGTACTCCCCATCAGAGGAGGCCTTGCATTTAGGTGCCACAGCTACTGGTGTTTTAATACCCCGCACAGCAACATATGTAATATGTGAAGGTATCACAGTCCTGTGTGCACTGTTCTCTCAGCAATAATCCTTTTTAATATTTTGTAAACTGCTGAGTGTAAAATGTCAAGGTCTGAGAGGCCCATGTGCGTCGCGCTCTTCTGAACCTATTGCACAGAGAGCCACTTCTCAGCCAACCTTTCAGCACGATCCTGGCGCCCCTGGAGTGAGCGTAGCACATGAGCTCCGCGTCGTAGCTCCCGAAGGCGGCCACCGTCGTCACTTTGGACCAGTCATAGGATTTCCAGGTCTTCTTCCCCACATCGAACACGAAGACCTAGCAAGGCAGCGGAGAGCAGACACCTCGGTCACCCGCGCACCCTCCTCCGCAGCGCGCTGCTCGAGCGTGCTCCTTTTCCACATCTTCATGAGACGGTGCCGAGATGCCCCATGTCAGGATCCCACGCCCCAGCCTCTCTGGCCTCTGCCACCCCGACTCTGTCCCCACGGCGGCTGCAGG